GTGCGCGCCGGCCGGGGCTTCAGCCTGGAGGAGCTGAGGGTGAGTATCGCCGGCCCGCGTCCTCGCAGCCCTGAGCTGTCCCTCGTGGCCCGCAGCCAAGTGATGACATTCTCCGGAATCGCTGTAGGGCAGTGATGAAAGTGCGTTTGAACCCTTTTCCATCTGATGGCTGCGCGCTCCCGCTAGGGGTGGGGACCGGGGCGTCCCCATCCGCAGATGAATGGACTCCATCTGTGTGTGTCCCTGGGGTAGGTGGCCGGCATCCACAAGAAGGTGGCCCGGACCATCGGGATCTCGGTGGACCCGCGGCGGCGGAACAAGTGCACGGAGTCCCTGCAGACCAACGTGCAGCGGCTGAAGGAGTACCGCTCCAAGCTCATCCTCTTCCCCAGGAAGCCCTCAGCCCCCAAGAAGGGAGACAGCTCTGTGAGTGCAGCTTTCCCGCCGCCCACGGGCTGGGGGCGGAGATCTCACAGGCTGTCCAACTGGACTGCGAATAAGCACCTGTCATTTTGCCCCGAAATCGGGCTGTTGTGCTTGGGCAGTGGGGAGCTGAAAGGGAGAAGGCCCCGAGCATGCGCGGATTGTCAACGGCCAGGATGCACTGATAGGGGCGAAAGCTGTGGGACTTGTAGTTTTTCCTGCATTGGAAGAGTCTTGCTTGCTAACAAGCTTTACGTGAGATTGACCACGCCTGTCCGATCTGTCTCCTGAGGGTTGGGCTGGGGGCACTGCTGGGCCTGTATCCCTGGTTTTGAGGTGGGTGGCCTGCTGGGTGGAACAGGGCTCCAGGGCCCACACCATGTGGCCCTGCAGGCACACGCGGCCAGCCAGGGGTTGTAGGCTTGGAGCCGTGGCCAGACGAGCCGAGCCCAGCCCCCCTGACTCCTCTCTCTTTGAATAGGCTGAGGAGCTCAAGCTGGCCGCCCAGCTGACAGGACCAGTCATGCCCATACGGAATGTAAGTGGGTGTGTTTGGAGGGAGTGAGGGTGGCAGCTGGGGTCCGTGTTGAGATTTACTACAGGTTTATGGAAAGCAGGCTTTTCACCCTGGGAAGATACCTCCTATGTCTTAACAGGAAGCTTCGGGGATCCTCACTTGTCACCCTTCTGCCTTGGGTCCTTTTTCCCTGCTTGCTGTTTGGAATGGCCGGGTGTATTTCTGGATGTGATTGGTGACCCTGTAACTAGACCAGTGATTGACTGGGCCTGGAGGTTCCCTTGGGAGTGGGAGTTTGGCCTGAGCATCCCTGGTGCAGGCTCCACGTCGTATCCAAGCACAGCCCCCCTTCACATGACTGAGGCAGTTGCTACTGAGTTTGGGACCCCAGAGAGGTGGTTGTCATCTTTCCGGTGGTGGCCTCCTTGCAGCGATTCTAGGATGGGCGGGCAGGTGGACTCCGTTCAAGGCCTCTGCTCTGCTGACAGCTGGGCCTGGGCCCCCTTTCAGGTCTACAAGAAGGAGAAGGCCAGAGTCATCACAGAGGAGGAGAAGAACTTCAAGGCGTTTGCCAGCCTCCGCATGGCCCGTGCCAACGCCCGGCTCTTTGGCATCCGGGCAAAAAGGGCCAAGGAAGCTGCAGAACAGGATGTTGAAAAGAAAAAATAAAGTGCTGATGGCAGATTGTGATAAGCCTGTGGTGTCCGTGTGACATCCGTCACGTAAGGATCTGGGACTTGGATGCACGTCCTTGTCCCTCGGTGCACACAACCTCCTGTGGGAGAAGCAGCTTTGGAAGCTGGGGGTTTTATGGGTTTTCTTGTCTGGATCCTCCAGCCCTGCAGGGTGTGTGGATTCCCATTCTGCTGCCTCAGATAACAGAGGACTATTAAACAACTATTAACACATCCAAAATTAACAGCTTTGTGAGGTGCTGACTGATTGTCATGCTCATTTCGTGGGGGGCAGCTAGTGTGGAGGAGTGGGAATTTGAGCCTCACAGTCTGTGACAACCTTGAAGGGGCCTCTTGTGGACGACTGGAGGCACTGCTTCCACTTTTACCGCATCACCTGCCGTCGTGGTCATAGTTTGGGGAGCAGAGCCTCCAGGGATGTGCAGGGCTGAGGTCCAGCTCTGACGAGGATCCCAAGTGGTTGCTGTTCACCTGGTCAGAACTGCTTGTGGGTTGTAGGTGCACCTCAGGGACGCAAAACCAAAGTGTTGGTGTCGCCCCCATGCCTGCAGGGGCTTGGTCACATCTGTCTCATTTCCTGTGTGTACCTGCTCTTTAATTGGTTTGCGCTGGTTTGGCAGTAGTTGCAAATAACATCTCAATTTGCTTTGCTCTTTTTTTTTTTTTAACTAGAGGAATTTCAATTTCCTAGGCTGTTCTTAAGGAAGAAATAATTTAAAGTTTATTTTCTAAGCTATACAGTATTCTACTTTGGAGAGAAAGTGTGCATCATGGAATTTTAACACAAGGAGTGTTAGCCCTCTAGGGTGAGCTTTGTTTTGAATCTGTATCCTGTAGCTGCTTTGTGAAAATGTAGGTAGTTGGGTGTTTTTAAAAGAATTGGAATTAATCCTAATTTCCAGTCACTTCTAAGTGTAATGTACAGGAAACTGTGGTCACTTTAAATTGTTTAGGCTCTTCCTTACCTAACTCAGTTGAAGCCGAATTCTTGTTTCTCATGAGTTTTATTTAGAGGTGATCACACTTGCCATTTTTTTCTCTTATGCTTTCTACATTTTATGAAAGAAAACTGGTCTCTGTGGTTTTGGGGTTTTTTTTAAGTAAAGTCTGGAAGAGAAAAGTAGGAATGAGGCCTCCCTCCAGCCCCTGGAGGCCTTTGTCTGGAGCGGTTCACGCCCAGCTCCAGGACTTCCCAGCGTCCTTGCCCTTGTACTTTTTGCTCCAGCTTAGAGGTGAGACGATACCAAGTGTGCTGACTCTGGCTTGGTCTCCTGGCCTGGACCATCTGGAGACTTGAGTCCAGGTGTTGGGCCAGGGAGGGTGGGCAGAGCTGGTGAGGGGTGGTGTTGGGTGGTCCTGGCAGTAGACAATGATGTGGGGGGTAGTTACTGGAAGAAAGTGGTGAGAACAGGTGTCCAGGTATTCACTGCGCACCTCCTGTGTGCCAGACCCAGTGGCAGGGACAGTAGTGAACCAAACAAGCTGTATCTTTGCTTGGTGGAATTTTCTGAAAGACCTCTAGGCCTCACTGAGGGTTTGTGGGCTTGGGTTGCGGTGGAGACTGGCCACCTATTGGCCAGGTATAGGAGGATGATCTGCTGGCTCGAGGCCTGGTCAAGGCCCTTCAGGCCAGGAAGAGGGGCTGGCCTTCCAGAGACTTGTGGACCCACCCTCCAGGGAAAGGCTCAGCACCCTAGGGCTCTTCCTCCAGATCACTGGGGTCTGGGGATCCAGGAGTTCCTGTGGGGAAAGTGGGCGTGTGTGTCAGACCTGGTCCCTCTTCAGCTGTGGTGCCTCAGCTGGGCTGCCCGCCTTTTTAAGCCCCAGTGTCCACAACTGCAGGTGGACTCCCTATCACACAATGTTGCAGAGATCCTGCGGAGGAGGCAAATTGGGTCATTGTTGAAAGAGACCAAGAGCATAGAGGGTGTCATCCCGTCCCAGCAGTTCTCACCAAGAGTATCACCAAAAGCCACCAGATGAGTCAGGTAGGAACAGCCGACTGTCAGCTAGAGACACTGCTCAAGGACACTGCTGCCGCCCTGGCCCACGCTGCCAGCATCCCTTGGGAACCCTGGGCAGCTATGTCTTCATGGTCTCCCTCCTACCCTGGCCTGTGGTCCTGCCTGTGTGGGCTGGACCCAGCAACTTGGCTTCTGCTGGAACAGAAGTGAAGGACAAAGGGTGCAGAGAGTCCACTTACCCGGGGAAGCAGTGTAGACAGGTGCCCTGGGCAAGCCTCCGCAAGTGGGCTTGGGGGGCTCCTGGGTCAGGAAAACCCCGGGTTGAGGGAGAGCCTGTCCTGGACAGTGTCCCGTGTCCCAACTGGGATGACAGACCTGCATGTGGTCAGCCAGGTCCCCTCTCCAGGCGCACCTGTTTCATTTCTAAAGTTAAAAGCCAGACCCTGCAGGAAAACCTGACAGGTTGCAGATGTTCTGAGATAAAATAACATTTCTTCAGGAAGAAAGAAACAGGCAGAGGGCAGCTTATAAAAAGCTCCGCCAGATGTGGAAATCCTGTTAGCCCTCTGCCACCCCACTCCCCCATTGCAATTTCTAGTTTCCACACGCCTTGCAGGGCTGGCTGGGCTGGGCCTGCGTGCTCTGCACTGAAGACAGGACACAGGACGAGGCAGGAGGGTATGGCGGTGGCCTTTTCCCACCTCTGAGTCCCACGCCCAGCCTTGCCAAGGCAAGGTCACTTGCATACAGCCTGGGGGTGGCTTTGCACGTGGCCCCACTTTCCAGGTGAGATGGGATACTGGGCGGCCTGGAACTTGTTGAGGCCACACGTGGACCCAAGGGTGGATTCCCAGGAGCTCAGGGCCGCTTATTGAATTGGGCGATGTAGCAGTTCAGTTGGGCTTTGAAGAGTAAGTAGGAGTTGGCTGGTGATGGGGAGCTGGTGCACACAGCACTGTGCCTTGAAAGCAAGGATGCTTCACTGTTGGGCCAAAAATTGGTGACTAGAAGCACTTAAAGAGACAGCCATGGGGTTAAGTACACAAGAAAGGACTGAGTGTTAGGTGGTCCCGCAGGGACCTTCGTGCTGCAGACCTGCATTCTCCAGAGAGTACGTACTTCAGGCTTTCTGGGCCATACAGTCTGTCCCAGAGACTCAAGAGTTTTTTGGGGTTTTCTGGGGGTGGTTCATCAGGGTTATTTTACTTCCCTAGTGGTGGCACTGGGGATTGTGTGCATTCCACCACTGAGCTACACCCTCCCCTTCTCAACTCTGCTCTTGCAGAGCGAAATCAGCCTCAGACAGCAAGTGGTCGCCCAGGCCCCAGGCATGGCTGAATCCCAGTAAAACTTGATTGACAAAGTGGGCTGTCAGATTTGGCCCCAGGGGCTGCAGCTCCCAACCCCCACCTACATTCCCTGAGGGAGCTCATTGGGTTCAGACTGCCAGAACAGAAGCACCGCAGATGGGGCTTGTGGACGGCAGACGGAGATCCCACAGTCCCGGAGGCTGCAAGTCAGAGAGGGAGGCACCAACAGACGGCATCTGGTTCAGAGAAGGCGTCTTCTCTCTGTCCCCGCGGCTGGGGGCCAGGCAGCTGTCTAGGGCCCTGTTTATAAAGGCACTAAGGCTCCATGCTTACGACCCGAGCACCTCCCGGGGCCCCCCCAGTGCTGTCACAGTGAGGGCTAGGGTTTCAACAGACAGATCTGGGGGGGACACAAACACTCAGTCTATGGAAGAGGGCCATATGATGTTACTAATAAAGGAAAGAAGTTATAGAACAGAAACTGCACCATGGTCTCCTTCAACATTTATTGGGTACCTACTATGTGCCAGGCACAGTCCTAGGCCCACAGACTCGGCTGTGAGAAGGAACAGGACGGTCCCCCAAGCTGGCAAAAAGGGCTCCAAGGGTAGGAAACAACTTTTAAAAATTCATACAAACAACAAAGTCCTACTGTACGGCACAGGGAACTATATTCAATATCTTGTAGTATATAATGAAAAAGAACATGAAAACGAATGTGTGTGTGTAGACGTATGAACTGAACTGTTACTGTACGCCAGAAATTGACACAACATTGTAAACTGACTACTTCAATAACAAAAATTCATACAAACAGATTGCGTGGGAGCTGGAGGCATACGCATCAAAATGTTAAGCGTTTCTGGGTGCTAGAATTTTCTTTCTTGCTTATCTACATTTTCTAATGTCTCAACAAGGAACATATATTACTATCTTCTGCACCACAGTAACAGCAGAGTGTATGGGGGTGGGGATCTCATTTCCTGCATGTGGGTGCCTGAGCTCCACCCCCCCTTCCGGGCCCTTCCCATCCCTGGGGCCTCCGTGGGCTGGCGGGCGGTGGGTCCTGCGCCTGGCTGGCCCTGGGGAAGACCAGGGCTACAGGAATCCAGTGTTTCCTCTGCAGTTTCTCTCCACTGGCCACCGTGCTGGCCCCTCCTGCAGAGTCAGCTCTGGAGCTGAGCCCAGGGTCGCCCCACAAGGCGGGGGGGGGGGCCTGTTGCCGTGAAGCTATGGTGGAGACCTCAGTGGGTCCATAAATCTTTGGACCTCAGAGACTCAAATTCCCAAACGGAATTCTCTTTCCTCTCTGCCCTTTTGGTGAAAATGCCACATTACTCGCTGGTGCTGTGCGTGTGGTGGTTAAGAGCTGGACAGAGGCCAGGTTTAAGCCTGGTACTTACACTGGCCAGCTGGGTGGCCTCAGCAAATTGCTGGGCTTTTGTTGGCCCCTTTCCTCATCTATGAAACAGGGCTGTTGTGAGGGTTTGTGGAGAGCACCATCACAGGGAGCACAAACAGTGCCCAGTGGAGATAGCCGTCCTCCATGCTGGTGGGAGAGAGGTCCTGGGGGTAATTGCCCAGGCCTGGTGGGCCAACGTGATGACCGTGAGCCTTGCCAGGAACTGCTGAGTGTGCCAGTGTGGGGCTGGATGCCCACTGGAGCCTCGCCTCTCCTGGGGTTTCGCATCCTCATCCCTGTTAAAACTCAGAGAGGCTGGGGGGCCTTGCCTAGGGTGCCGGTGGAGCTGGTGTCCAGAGGAAGCTGTCTCTGGGCGGGCATGGGGCCCCTGCGAGCCAGTAAGCTACCACAAGCCCATGTGCACAGTTGCTGGGCTAAAGATTGGGATACCCCCAGCTCTGGGAAGCAGGGCTGGGACAGATGCCGGGGCTGGAGATCCCTGAGGGGCTCCAGGCTGGTAACTATCTGCAGAGAGAAGCAGACTCTTCAACTGCTGGTTTTTGAAGCTTTTGGAATCTGGGCCAGCTTTCAAGAGGGGGTGACATGACAGGGAGGCTTGGTGAGGAGGAGGAAGCAGGCACAAGACTGGCCCGCTGGGCCTTTCCCTTTCCCGCAAATTGGGCACAAGTTCTTTGCCTTCCAGGCACATTAGAGATGCGCTCACCTTCCCACCCGTGGAAGCTCCTCTGCTGAGACTGGAGTGCAACCTCCGGCCTCCCACCTCTGCCCGGGCCGCGTCTTTGTCCTGCTAGTGGCTGGGCCCTCTGACCCCAGGATCTTCTTCCGGAGTGCCGGTGGCCGAGGCTCAGCCCGGAGCCTCTGGAGCTCACAGATCTTGCTGCACCTGGGATCTAGTCTCTGCGCCCCTGGTCCTTGGGCGCCTTCACCTTAACCCTCTTCCTGCCGCCCTTGCACCATGGCTTTTGGCCAGGTCTATGCCCTATTTTCAGGCAGAAACTAGCAAAGAGATTGGGCTTGGAGGTGGTTTCTGCCTCCACCAACACCCCCTCTTCCATACTGCTTCCGCTGCTGGGACCAGGTAGTCCAGGGTAGGAGTGTAGCTCAGGGCGGAATGGAGCCCCGGCCTCTTCCAATCTCCTGTAGGGGACAGATGTGGAAGAGCCCCCAGGCTCGGTCTGGTCAGACTCTGGACCTCACCGCAGACACCCTCCACACCAGGGTGGGGGTGGGGGGGGCTGTGCTGGTTCTGGGACTACAGGTTCTGGGAGAGCAGACAGGTTCTTCCTGTCTCCAGCCCAGCAAGGTGCCCAGCACACGGGAGGTGCCCACTACCTGCTTTCTGACTGAGCTGGTGCCTCACCAATGCAGCAAGGCCTGGAGATGGATCCCAGAGATGCGGGGAGAGGTGCAGATCTGGTGTTAAACTGGGCCTCTGTTGTCCCCTGGCTCCCACAGGGGCTGCCTATGTGGGACCCTGGACCAGGCCCAGGGCAGCGCAGAGCCTCCTGCTGGGGAACAGATCCTGACCCAGGGAGCTGTGGGGCTCTGCACAGTCTGGAAGGGCACACACGGCCCGGACCCCAGAACCCCCCACCCTGGAAATTTGAGCCCAGCTAACCCGGGACATCCTTGAGGGGGGATAGGGACAAAGGGCGGGCTGAGGCCACCGCTGGGAGCCCACTCCCCGCCCCCCTCGCCCTCTCCACTGTCCCCTCCTCTGTTTCACCCTCTCTGACACCCCACCCTCTACAGTCCCCGCGCAGTGGCTGCCGCCAGAGCCACGTGTGCCCGTGCCCCGCAGGCGCACAGGGAGGGAAGCGTGGCCACGCCTGGCCCGGCCATCATTTCCCCAGGCGGCCAAGGCGCGGATTCGTGGACAGCGGCCCCTTGGTGGGCCCAGACTGGTCCCCGAGCGCTAGCGCCGGGAGCATGAGCGCGAGGTCGGAGCGCGCAGTGGCGGCAGCGGCCCACGGGGTGGTACCAGCGCCCTGCGCCTCGAAGGTGGAGCTGCGGCTCAGCTGCCGGCACCTGCTGGACCGCGACCCGCGACCCGCTCACAGTCCGACCCCAGCGTGGTGCTGCTGCTGCAGTCGCAGAGCCAATGGGTGCAGGTAGGGGCGAGGGCGGGGGTGCAGAGGGAAGAGGCCTAGGGGTGGACGGTGGTGCCGAGTGGGGACGCAGAGACCCAGGTGGGTGTGGGAAGCTAATGGGGCCCAAGGCAGCGGCGTCGGAGCTGGGGCTGAGCGCAGGATCACGGGTGGGGTTACCGGGTCTAGGGGTGCGTGCCCAGGAGCTGTGGCAGTGGAGGTGTCCGGAGTGGGCTGGAGGCGGACCTGCACAGGGAGCTCCAAGCAGAGAGAGGAGCGCTGGAGTGGGGGGTGCGACCCAGGGTTGGGGGGGGCCTCCGGGGCCAGAGAGGCGCCGCAGGAGGCCTGCCTAAGGGGCAGAAAGGAGTGGAGGGGCAGGGGTTGGACTGGGGCCGCCGGTCCCTCTCCGCCCGCGGGGCAACCAGGAGCGCGGCTTTTCTGCCGGGTCCTCCTTCGCAAGGCGGGGGTGCCCGGACCTGGAGCAGGGAGGGCCGGGAGGGGAACGGCCGACCCGGGCCGGAGCTCGCTGGGAGCCGAGGACTTGATCTCCGAGACTGGGACGCCCCGTCTGCAGGGCCCCCCAGCCTGTCGCTTCTCCTGTTCTTGAAGACTGGCGGGGTCCCCAGGGACCTCGGCGCGTGGCCAGGGTTGGGGACCCGGCTCTGGGCGGGCGGGCCTCTGCGCCGCGGGGCCCCCCTTCAAACCTCTCGTCCTGGGAGTGCCCGGGGCGCCTGCGCAGGAGCGGGGCTTCCACGGGGCCCGCTGCCCTCGTCATCCCCGCCCGGCCCAGCCCTCCCCGCGGGCGGGTCGCGGCGACGGCTCCGGACGCTCCGGGCGCTCCGGGCGCTCCGCGCCGGACGAAGCGCTTTCTCGGTCAAAATCTCACGCGAGACGCGTGGCTTCACCTCGAAAGAGCAGGAGATCGGGGCGCGAGCCGAGGTCAGGGGCTGAAGGGGCTGGTGAGCAGGGGAGCGGGGGCCCGAGCCCGCGGCGGCTCCAGGCTGTCCCCGCCGGCGGGCCCCTCCCACGCTCTGGCGCCCCCTGGCGGGGTGGCGGCACGCGGGGTGGGGCGGGGGCGGGGGACGCGTCTGGGCCCAAGAGCCCAGGGGCTCGGAGGCCAGGAGCGCCGCGACCTTCTGATCCGTGACTCTGTACGGTCTCTTGTCATCTCCGGACCACCAGAGACAGATACCTGCTTCTGGTTTCACTGTCCAGGGTTCCAATCCGCTCTGTCCCTGACTTGGGGTGCCCTTGGGCCCCACCCTTCCCCCTTCTGAGCCTGTTTCCCCATCTGCGATGTGGGCGGCCGGGGGAGTGAGGAGTGAGGGAGGGGCGGCCTGGAGCCTCGCAGCATCTTGTGGAGTGGGGTCTTCCCACAACACAGTCTGGAAGCAAGGACCACCTGAGGGCAGATGGGAGGGGAAGGGGACCCTGAGGGCCTCACTCGGCGCTGCCGGCAGGTGGACAGAACCGAGGTGGTCCGGAGCAGCCTGGACCTGGTGTTCTCCAAGGCCTTCACGCTCGGCTACTGCTTTGAGGAGGTGCAGAAGCTGCGCTCTGAGGTCTATGACGCCCACGGGCCCAGCAGCCTGAGCTGTCGGGGTGACAACTTCCTGGGGGGCGTGGAGTGCACCTTGGGGCAGGTGAGTGCCCATCCCCTTGGGAAGGCAGGGGCAGGATGGGCACTTGGGCAGGTCCTGAGGGCTCGCTCTATGGCAGTGGTGGCATGGGGACAATGAATAGATGCCGACTGTGTACCAGCATGACCCCCAGCGCTGCCTGTCTCCACAGCTCCTTCTCTTAAAAAACTCTTTTTGGTTATTTTTAAAAATATGTAATTTTGTGCTGGGTAATATGGATCCAAATCCAGAAAGTGTGACAGGCACACATGGAAGGCTTCCCTCCTGCTCTGTCTCCAGGGACATTACATTCTTCTGCAGAGACGTCTTCTCACTGGAGCCAAGGAACGCGTGCTCTTTTCCCTATATTCATGTATTAGAAAACCCAAATGGCATACACTGTTCTGCAGCTTGCTTTCTTCACTTCCATGACACAAGGGAGCCCTTCCCGTGTCTCTCCCCGTGGCCTGTTGGTCCAGCTCCCACCTGAGAGACACTGTGTCCTCCACTCCAGTCGTCCGTCAGCTCCTCCATTATCAGTGTAACAGGAGTGCCTGCTCTCGCCACCAGCCAGGCTACTTAGCGCTAGCCTCTGTGCTGAACACTCCGTGTGTCCCACGTTAAATTCTTGTGAGGGCTACAAGGGCACTGCTTTTTATTGAGGTGTAATGTACACACAGTAGAATGTGTAGACCTTGAGGGTTGAGACTGATGAGCTTAGACGGTGGTCCACCTGACTGTCACCCAGATTACACGGAACATTCTCATCACCTGCAGGTTCCCCTGCTCCTCTCAGCACACCCCCCGCCCTGATAGCTCTGCCTGTCCTAGAATTTCATGTCCGTGAATCTCATGGGATGTTCTCATTTGTGTCTGATTTCTTTTACCCAACATGATGTCTGGGTGACTCATCCATGCTGCTGCCTGGGTTGGAGATGGGCGGGTAGAGCCTTCTGTCAGATAAAAAGACCAAGACCCACGCAGGGCACAACCCTGCACAGGGCGGCGGTCCGCCCAGCCTGGCCCCCAGCTGCCCTCGTGAGCATGGAAGACGGGGACCACATACAGGGACACACATGGAAATATGCATGTCCAGCATGAAATAAGACTTGTTCAGAGAAGATGTGACTCTGTTTATGTGACAGCTTTAATTAACATCCGCTCTGGAAACCATTCCAGTATAGTCTATTGATGAAAATTGATTTTTTTTTGAATGATGTTAAGATGAAGTTAGTGAAAGATAATTTTCCCCTCCAGGAAGAAGTGGAGATTTAAAAAGGGAAATATGGCATTTCTTCTGGGGGGAGGGTGTAGCTCAAGTGGTAGAGCGCATGTACAAGGTCCTGGGTTCAATCCCCGGTACCTCCTCTAAGAATAAATAAATAAATAAATCTAATTACCTCCCCCTCCAAAAAAAACCCCCCAAAAATAAATAAATAAAAGGGAAATATGGAATACAAATTGGTCTTTGCTCAAAAAAACTCACATGCATAGAGGCATGTAAAAGCCCATGCTTGCACAGACATCCGTGTGCAAACAAGTGTGTGCATGCCTGCACACGCAGACCTGTGCACGGCACACACGGACACATGTGTGGACACGCACACGTCTGGGTAAACACACACACTTTACATTATGGAAAGGTCCTCAGGACCTCCTGCTCTGCAGCCATTCTGGTCTGGGCTGGTAGGGCCACCTCAACGGCCAAAGGCTTGGACACTTCAAGTCCCAGGCGTGCAACACGGACCCTGCAGCTGTCCCATTTCTCCATAGGTGAGCCCAGAAGTGAGCCTTCAACTGAGAGAACCTGGGGGCCTGGCGTGGGGCCCCACATTTCGCACCTCACACCAAGCTCTCCCACCCGAGGCCCATTTTGGCCTCAGCTTCCCCCACCTGGGATGGTTTCTCTTCTGCACAAAATGTTCTTGAATGCTCAGAGCTGTCAGCCAGGCAGACTGGGGTGGGGGTGGGGGTCCTGTCTCCCGTCTGTCTCAGCTCAGTCATGGCAGTGAGGGTCAGAGCTGGCCACGCGGAGGCTAGAGTCCCCACCCACACTGCAGTCGCTGGTCCTGCAGCTGCCACGAGGGGCGGTCAGCTTCTGTCTGGTCTACAGGCCAGCCTAAGAGCTGCCCTCTGGTGTCCCTGTGTCAACTCTTGGCCCAGTTAGTGGGTTATAGCCTGAAGGGGCTGCAGCCTGGTGGTGGGGGGGAGGCCGAGACCGCTCGGAGGGCCCAGCGCAGGCCAGCCCTGGCTTGGGAGGCTCCCAGGGCCCGATGCCCTGCTTTTGCCGTAGGTCACATGTGTGCTGACCGAAGGGACCCTGGCATTCTCCCTCATCTCTGAACCTGTTTTCTCACCTGACCATGAGCGGTGGGAGGGCCCATGAGGCAAGGAGGTGAGGGTGCCTGGCAGAGGGAGAGAGGACAGAGGGCCAGTCAGATCCAGGCCCCAAGGGGCCCTGAGTGGTACGTTTTGAGGAGTCAGGTCACTGAGGGCGGGTTAGGGTCCCCAGGGGAGCAGGCGCGGACCCCCCCCGCCCCATTGCCTCTTCTGACTTGCAGAGGAAGACCCTCCTCAGAGCCAGGAGGGGCTGAACCTGGTGTTCCCCCACCGCCGCGTTCCCCGCCTTGCCGGGCAAAGCCTCTGCTCCTCCTGCAGGACTTCTTCAGCAAGCCGCACCCCTTCCTGGAGCTTTATCTGCTCAGTGACGCTCAGAGTGAGCAGCTGGTGTACAGAACAGAGGTGGGGGTCCCTGCCCAGCACCTGGGGGTGGGCGTGGGAGGGCGGGGAGGGAGCTGCCCCTGCTGCCCCTCTGCATCCCCCCGGCCCCACACCGCCACCTCCCTTTGAGCAGGGCCTTGTCATTACCTGCCCCTGAAACTGGATTTACAGCAGTTACAGCAGAGGGAGAGCATTTCCTTCTGAGATAGATTAACTTGGATGAAAAAAGACTATTTAAGGGAAAAGGAGTCCAGGTGTTCCAGGAACGCGGGGAAGTTATGAAGGAGCGAGGCTCAGGCCGAAGCTCCGGAACCTGAGGCAGGGCCCCCGGGGCCGCTGGCCCCTCCTGGCTCACACGTGGTGGAGAACGACGTGTCCCACGTGGCAGCCTTTCAAAGTGCCTCTGAGCAGCCTGCGCAGCTGTGAGGAGTCTCGGCCTCTGAAGGTGGGTGGGGCGGGGCCGGGCTGGGGGCCGGGGTGGGGTCTGTGATGGGGCGGGGCCAGTCCTGCCAGATCACACTTTGGAGTTGGGGTTCGTGGGGAGGGGTGGTGGGGAGGGGGCGCCCAGGCTGGGGGCCCCAGAGGGGCAGGGGGCTGAGGGCTCCTGGGCTCCCCAGTGCCTCGTCTGGGATTATGATTCCCGCAGGAAGCACGACTTGATTGGAGAATTCTCCACCACCTTGGAGCAGATGCAGAAAAACTTTGCAGAGGACCAGGTGAGCTGCTGGGGAGCAGCAGGGCCAGAGGGGCGCCCTGGGCTGTGCTGCGTTGCTGCATAAGTCGTGATGGCATTAGAGGAGGAAATTGAGGAGGACAGAATGACAACCGCCCTGCCAGGGGGCCAGAGTAGGGACCCTGGTCGGTCCTTTGCTTTGTTAGAGTTGGGAAAACCAGGGCGAGACTTTCAGGCCTCCCCTGCCCCTTGGGGTGGATGCTGGGCACTAGCACTGTGGTGTGCGGCCCCTGCCTGTCCCTGTCCCCCAGGCCCAGCGGGACTGCGTGAACGCCAAGTACAAGCAGAGGAGGCAATTACAAGAACTCTGGGGTGGTCGTCCCGGCAGACCTGGAGGTGGGCCTCAGGGCAGCCTGCAGACCCTCCCCACCCGCCCACGGTGGGGAGGGGGCTTCCGCCCAAACTGCTGAGAGTCAGTGCCCAGCGGGGCCGCAAGCCCTTCCCTGCAAGGCCCCCCATTGTCCGATGGACCCTCAAGGGCTCCCCTCCCGGAGGTCTGGTGGTCCCCAGAATGTGGAGGTGGGAGGGGTGGAGGGGGAAGAAGGCTGCCTGAGGGCCTGAGGGGAGGGGACGGAGGCTGCTGGGCTCCTGCCCCCATATCCCTGGGGGAGGGCAGGCCCCAGGAGCCCCGGAAGCCCCGGCCTCGGCCCCACTGGCCGTCCTGGAAGTTCTTCAGGGTCTGCTCTTCGCTGGACTACATCATGGGTGGCTGTCAGATCCACTTCACGGTGAATCCACTGACCCCTCCACGCAGCCAGCTGGAGTACATCCCAGTGGGATGGGGGGGTCAGCACCTGGGCGCCGCCCCAGGCCTCCCGACGGCCCTCCCCACTCTGAACGTAACACAGGGCCCAGCTCAGCACCCTGGTGTGGACATGCGCAGGGACGTGGGTACAGTGAGGCCCTTCTGTATGGCCTTCGTGCTCCAGGCCGGAGGAAAGTGACTTGGGGTGCTTCAAGGGGACCCCAGCTCAGGCTTGCTCCTCCCAGGTCCTGCACTGGGAGGGTGGTGGCTGAGAAGACCTGCCTGGTCCCGCCTCTGGGCCCCTCCCTGTGCCTCGCCCCCACTGGTCAGGCTATGGGCAGGGCCAGAACTCTGCGGGAGGTCCAGGGTGACCTCCCCGGCTCTCTGCGGGCCTACAGAGGTGCGCTGGCTTCCTCTGGGGAGCCAGGAGCCTTGGGGTTGGCACGTCAGCTAGGAGGTCTGTTCCCCTCTGGTCCTGCCCTGCACAGAGCCGGGCCCTGGGGCTCACCACCAGCCTTCCTCGCAGCTGAGCCTCTTTCCAAGCCTCGGTTTCCCTCCCTGACCTGTTAGAGGTGGCTGCAGGTGCCCATCCCAGCCCCGGTGGGAGGGGCTCCCGGCTCATCACCTGGAACCTCTGCAGGTGGCCGTTGACTTCATCGCCTCCAACGGAGACCCTCGGAACAGCTTCTCCCTGCACTACATCAACCCCTTCCAGCCCAATGAGTACCTGCAGGCCCTGGTGGCTGTGGGCGAGATCTGCCAGGACTATGACAGGTGCGCCAACCTCCCTGCTCCCCAGGCTCTGCCTGCAGCAGCCCCAGGGACCAAGGCAGGGCCACCCCCACCCACATGGCCTCTTTTGTCCTTCACACAGACACGGAAGGACACGAGTCCCACTTCACAGATGATAAACTGAGGCTCCTTGTGGGTGAAGGGGGCCAAGGTCCTCCCCTGCCTGCCTGTGTGCTGGGCGGCTTCTTCGTGGCTTTGTACCTCAGTTCCCCCATGTAGTTTGGGGTGGGGCCTGGGGCCCCCAAAAGTGTCAGCCTGATCTCCTTGTTCTGTCAGTGTCTCCCCAGTGTGCCCCCCACCGACCAGGGTAATCAGAGACCCTGGGTGACGAGACCACCTCTCTTCCAGCGACAAGAGGCTCCCTGCTCTGGGGTTTGGAGCCCGGATCCCTCCCAAATATGGGGCGCTGTGTGGCGGGTGACAAGCAGGTGCAGGCACTGGCCCTCCCTCCACCAGAGGGCTGACCTGTGACATCCCAGCACCAGTGCTCTCATGACCGAAGACAGCCCTTTGGCCCTGTCGGGAGAACGGGGGACATTAGCCCAGAATCTTCCAGTTAGAAAGGACATTCAACTGGCTTAGACAGAAAACTTGGTGGTGGGGGGCACTTACTGGCTTCAGGTCTTGCGGGTTCCAGGGCTGGAGCGATGCCCAGCCCTGGTCTGTCTGTCCACCTCTGTCCTGTGACTCCCTCCACACGTGGTGGCCCCAGGGGCTCCAAACCTACCTCTCCCACCAGGTAGGGGTGTGGGTTCCTGGGGGGGAGCCAGCTGACAGGTCCTTTCTGTGCCCACCCAGGGGTCCCATGACTTTGCCGTCAACTTCAACCCCAAGGACGACGAGTGTGAAGGTCGGACGCGGGCGCCTCGGGTGGGGGTGCCGCGGGGCCAGGCTCACCCTCCCCCCGCCACAGGCATCCAGGGTGTGGTGGAGGCCTACCAGAACAGCCTGCCCAGGGTCCAGCTCTGCGGCCCCAGCAACGTGGCACCCGTCGTCTCCAAGGTGGCCCGCAGGGCTACAGCTGAGCCGCACACCCGGGAGGGCTCCGTGGGTGCCCGGGGCCGGGGCGCAGTGGGGACCAGGTGCGTCAGGAGGTGCTGCCTGCTCTGGGGGAGCAGGGCAGGAGTGGGGGCAGCTGTGGGGGGTGCATAGAGCTCACAGAGGCCACGGGGACAGCCTGTGCAAAGGCCCTGAGGCAGGGAGCGGCTGGACCGAGTGAGGAGGGGCGCCGGGGGCTGAGCTTGCGCAGGTGATTCTCACCCTGGAGGCTGACTTGCTGACGTCCACTCTGGTCACTGTCCTGTTGTGCACACGTTGTTACTGTGTTTGTTCGTGTTTAATCCGCGTGAATAACGCTGTGCTAAGCCCGGCCCCGCTTTGGTTGTCACGGTGCTTTGTGAGCCTGGCTGTGCTGCTGTTACTTTCTTCCAGCTTTCATCTTGAAAAAACGTCAAATTTATGGAAGAACAGCACACCCCTCCCCTGGACCCACCTGCACCCACTTCTTGCAGTTCCCCCTCCCCAGCTCCCTCCCCCTCCCCTCCCCCCTCCCTCTTCCCGGCCCCACATTGTACGTTATTATGTCTTCTTTCTGAGCCATTTGAGAGCCGCCTGCTGGCCTCCTGACCCCCCAGCCCAGCCCAGCACTGAAGGTGCCCCCATCTTGTCTCACCCGACGCATCCACATTGTCCCAGGACCTGCCCTGCCCGTGTCCAGGTCTCCTGATCTGGGCTCTTCCTCCCAGCCGTGCTCCGTCCAGACTCTGGTCGCCCCCCGTGGGGAGAGGGGCCTGGGCTGCAGCCTCTTGTCCTCCCAGCCCGTCCGCCCTCAGGCCCGGTGTCCCTCACACACCCGCAGCCCGGGTGCTGATCCGGGTGACGGTTTGGATGCGGCGCTTCATCTGTGGAACACACTCCTGCTTCATCAGTTGCCCCAGCAGTAATTCCATCGCAGTGTTACTCCTGGCTCAGGATCCAGTCTGGAGTCAGGGTCACATTCAGCAGTCGTGGTCCCGCATTATTCTAAAGCGAGTCCCAGACACATAATTTCATCGGCAAACATCAGTATAAACCTCTTCGAGAGAGAAAATAGAGCCCTCAGGCCATCTTCACAGCTAAAAGGTGACCGTTCCTGTCCATGCCCTGATGGCTTTTCCAGTTAGAACGAGGTTGAGATACGGCCTTGCCCCGACAGGGGGTGTGTCCTTCCAGCTGCGACCCTGCCTTGCCTCACGAGGTCCCTGGGCTGAAGAAGCCCACGTGTGTGTCCAGTAGGGCCCGCGACTGGAGTCTGCTGCCCTCACCCTCCAGGTGGCCTCCACGCTGTCCTCTGATCCCTGGGAGGGGCCAGACTCCAGGAGGTGCTCAAGGCTGCCTCTGCCTTGTCGGTGCTCAGATATCCATCTTAGCGGAGCAGGGTTGATGCTGGCAGACAGTAGGGGAGCGTCCCGGGACCCACCCCCAATGCCTTCACCTGAAATTCCCTCCCACCATCTCTCTGCCCCGTGGTGAGGCCCCGCCCCATCTCACTGATGCACACGGCCTCCCAGGGCCCCGACTGTGATGCTTTCCAAGCTCAGGTGAAGCTTCCGTTCCAGGTGGTGATGGAGACACAGGGCTGTGAGCTCTAAATGGGCCCTGGCGCTACTCTCGGGGAGGCAGGCGTTGGGGGTTCCGCTGAGGAGGCACGTGGGGCAGTTCCAGTCCCGGTCAGGAGACTGTTCACCCCACCCTCGGCTCGGGGGCTCAGAGAGGGCAGGCTGCTGGGCTATCTGTGGGTTCCCTCCCTGGAGAGACGGTGCAGTGCTGGGTGCCCACTTGGCCGGGCTGGGCCAGCTGGTGGACAGCCCCCCTTCCAGGGCTGGAGGTGCAGAGTGAGCCCTTCTTCTCCTGTGTGTTTTCTCTCACTCAGATGTTTAGTAATGACTACTGAGAGGTTTTGTCTTTTTAACCCTGGCAATTGACTTTTATTTGAAGCAAGTCCCAGTCTGTCTTCTTGGCAGATGCACTGGGCACCTGGCCAGGCTAGACCAGGGTGTGTCTTCGCCAAAGCCCATTCCTTGAATCTCAGTGGCTCTTCAGAGTGTGGGGGCCCCTTCCCACCCCAGGCCCCACCCCTCCTCCTCTGGCCTCAGACGTGGGTCAGCCTGGTTCCCTGGGCCTTGGGGTCCCGTCTGTAAGATGTGGGCTTTCCGGCATCCTCGGGTCAGAGGCAGGGCGGAGGCAGGCAAACGTGTTCCCCGGGGGGGTGCTCCCAGATCAGTGTGGTCACGCAAATACTTAGGCTCCACAAAAAAGCTCCTGGAGCAGCTTGGAAACCGTGGGTTGAGGGACGTCTGTGGTCTCCCCTGGCCATCTCGGGGAGAAGAGCTGGTCGGTGGACTTGGGGTTTGACTGGGGAGATGCAGCCGCCCTGAAGGTCTCCGCAGCCCCTCTGCCCTGGGTCCCCAGCAGTACCACGTTCTGCTGATCCTGACGGATGGCGTGGTGACCAACATGGTGGACACGTGGGAGGCCACGGTGCGTGCCTCCCACCTGCCCATGTCCATCCTCGTCGTGGGGGTGGGCAACGCCAACTTCACTGACACGCAGCTCCTGGACGGAGACGGCGGTGTCCTGCGTTCCTCCCGGGGCGAGCCCGCCCTGCAGGACATCGTGCAGTTCGTGCCCTTCCGGAGGTTCCCACTGGGGCCAGGGTGGAGGGCCAGGCCTCAGGCAGTGCTGGGGAGAAATGGGCGCCTCCCTGCCTGCCCTCAGCAGCCTCAGCCCCTGCAAAACTTCTCGTCATGAGACCCTCAGGCTGACACCACAGAGGGCAGTGCACCCCCACATGCAGGCTCCCCAGTGGCTTCCAAACATCTGTGACACAGTGAGATATGCAGGGTGTGGGGCCCACTTACAGCGTCCACGCGGGGCCTGGGCCCCGGGACCTGCCTTCCCTCCCTGCCTCCACCCGCTGCCCAGAGCAGGGTCACACCCACCCAGAGGGGCCCTGAGGGGCCTCCCGCAGTGCCAGCTGCGTCTGGCTGCCATAGCCACTGTGGTCCCATGTTGCCCGGCAGTGCCGAGAACAGGCCCATGTGGCCACCAGCTGAGTTCTTGTTTGTGGTCACGAGCTAGGGCAGGACCACTAGAGGCTGGAGACCGTAGTGTGAACCTGGCTCTAGGAGGGAGCAAGAGGTGTGAGCCATGGGGGCGGGGGAGACGGAAGACAGAGGATGGGGAGGCCCCGGCTGGAGACACACAGTGCACTCCCAACCCCGGCCCTGCAGGCAACCCCCTCAGCGCTGGCTAACCGTGTGCTAGCCGAGGTGCCCAGACAGGTGGTGGAGGATTACAGCCACGGGGATCTGCACCCAGGGACCGCAGCGCCTACGCTTGGGAGGCCAGCCTGGGCTCCACGCCCTGAGGGCGCCCGGGGCGCGGCCAGGACTGTGTTCCCAGGCTCCGTCTCCAGCATCCTTGACCCTGACTTCCTGGAGGCCCCCTGTCCCCCAGGCCAGGCCCACCTCATCTCCTGTGGCCCTGCTGCCTGGTGGGCCAACCTCCAGGCCCCAGTACTGAAAGCTGGGTAGCCCCCGCTGGCACACCTGCTCTGCCCCAGCCAGGCGGGTGGGAGGGGTCCTGGGGGCGCGGAAGGGGGATTGGGGGGAGTCCTCCTTTGCATCTGGTCCTCATGGGGGTGGATCAGCAGGCAGCACCCCCATCTCTGGGAAAACCTGGGCCCCCGACTCCTGTCCCTATAGCCAGATCCCTCCTTGTCCGAGCTGCCCCCCAGCTGCTCTCCCCGCCGTGTCTGTGGGCCTGCAGGGCTGGGGGCATTTGGGCAGAATACAGTGTCATCTGGTGCTTGCAGCAGTGCTGTGCCTTTACTGCCCCCCAGCCTCAGCAGAGGACTGCACCAACGGCAGGGGCGGTGCCCGGGGCGGGGGAGTGTCTAGTCAGGCTGACCGCGTTCTTCCTGGACTGAGCCAAGGGCCCTCTCAGGAATGAAAGGGTGCGCTGGGGGTGTCGGTGCTTGACCCCAGGAAGGGCCAGAAGCAGCCTCCCGTGGCCGCCACCCAGGATCTGCACGGGCAGGCCCAGATGCGGAGGGGCCGCTACACTTGGCGTCACTAGCACCCCCTGCATGCTGGGTGCTATGTGCTGTGTTGTGGGGGCGGGAGGGACCATCTACCAGACCCTCCTGGCCCTGTGTGAGTGATTTCCGATTGAGATTTTTCCTCAATTATCTTGTCTGGGAAAAAACGAACTGCTCCGACCCTGAATCCAGGCCCACCCACCCATCGCTCCTTCCCTCCTTCTCTCCATCCATCCATCCCTGCGTCCACTCTGGGGGCCTATTTTTAGCTCCTGATTCATCTCCTGTTAAGCAGGGATAATGGGTATCGCCATGGTAACCGGGCTACCACTGAATTCTGGAAGGGCTGATACTGGTCTCTTTAGGGATGGAGAGGACACCAGAGAGGCATCGTCTCTGTCCACATCTGGGAGGTGGCAGGGCCATGGGGTGGGGGGTGGGGTGGGTCCCGAGCGGGGAGGGCGAGTGTCACCAGCGACCCAGCCACCGAGACAGGTGTGGCTGCACCACCTTGGACGGTTTCTGGGTGCCTGCAGGGGTGAGCTCCTCAGTAAAGACACAGTGACTGTGACCAAGGCAGCCGACTCTGCCTAGAGGCAGTAATGTAGCAAAGCGATTACCGCTCCAGGGGTGGTTCAGGTGGACACTAACTGCTTCTGCCCACCCACCTCCTTTGTGGCACAGCCATACTTCCTTAGGGGCCCCATCACTCAGTCCATGTATTTCGTGGGTCTGGACCACTGTCCAGAGCCCAGGGTGTACACGTGACCCAGACCTGGCCAATTAGTGAGCGTGCTGTCCCCTGGCCACAGTGATGGGCTCAGGTGGACAGTCACCCCGACCAGCCAGTGAGACTTGGTCCTGGGGTTGCTAAGCTGGTGGGATGGGAGCCAGGAGAGCTGGTCACCTCTGCCACCACATGGGCAGGGCCCACCTGAGGAAGAGGGGGTGCAGAGGAAGTGGACAGAGAAATGGTGCTGGGGTGACGTGGATCCAGCTCCTCAGCCAAACGTCCTGTTAAGGGAGCCATAAACCCCCTGTCTGCTCAGACCAACTGGGGGAGGGAAGTCCTGTCTCTTGTCACCCACAGTCTGGACCAGAAGGACGGCCAATGCTCCTACTCCACAGAGAAGTAAAGCAGGGCTCCGAACAGTTCAGGGGCTTGCCCAGGGTCACACAGCTGGCCAGTGGCAGAAGCAGGGCCTGCCAGCCCCGTGTAATTCCTGGATATACACCTTTCAGTGCATGGGCCTCCATCAAGGGCTCTGGAACCCCAGGAAGTGAACCCCAGTACCGGGTGGTCAAAAACGCTGGCAGCTGGCGTGGCACCTGGCGTGGCACCTGCAGATGAGACCGATGGTTCCCAGCTCCTCAGCGCTGCCCCTCCTGGAGTGGGAGCCTCATTTGCTCAGAACAGCAGCACACATGGGGTTCTCAGCCAGCAGACCTAGAAAGTGTGCCGTGGCCAGGGAACTCTGCGGGAGCTCCTAGGGCTGACGCGCTCCTCTGAAGTCGCCCCCAGCACACTACTCAGAGCACCCCCTGTTCGGAAGCTGGGTTTGGAATTTGCAAAAGCCTGCGGTGGTCAGTGGCTCAAGCACTAGGCCAGAGTCAGGCTGGGTATGTGGCCTCAGCTCTCAATGGAAAACCCTCCTCAGCCTCTGCTGTCACAGGGTGCGTGGTGGCTTTAAATACTGGCCCTAAAAGGCTAGGCTGCCCCTCCCCTCGAGAGGCGGGCTGGAAGCTGCTTCTCCTTGAATCCAAGGCCAGGCCATGGTCTCTGGGCCCAGCAGACCGGCTGTCTGTAGAGGGGCTCTCCAGCCCCATGACGCCTTCCTGCACTTTCAGAGAGACCTGGCTAGCGCCACCACAATCCTTGCTGTTTCCCTGAGCCCAGAAAGGCTGTGAGTTCATCCTTGTTTTTTGCTGCTCTAAGCCGCTGAGTTTTGGTGTGATTTCTCTGCAGCAGCAGGTGACTGACAGCCTCTCGTAAGGACTGGACGGGGCATCCACAGGGCCTGGCTTGAAACACCTGTTTGGCAAAGAAATACTAGCTTCCCAAGGGAGCCAGGCGGCCTCCACCTGAGTGACGGTTGTTTCAAAGCTCCGCCCCTGACTGTGAAGTGCCCCCTGAGGCTGGCCGGCGGCCTCGCTCTGTGGGGACCCAGGGTCGGGGCCAGGGCCCCCACCCCCAGCCTCCTGGGTGTCAGCCGTGGGCTGAGGGAGCAGAACCCGCAGCTCGGCCCCCAGGCGTCCTTTCCTCTGCTGCGGAGAGCAAGCAGCGGAAGGAAACTTCTTCCTCACAGAAGCATTCTGTGTTCTTTGATGTTTTTGAGGGGAAGGTAATTAGGTTCATTTATTTATTTAAATGGAGGCCCTGGGGATTGAACCCAGGACCCTGTGCATGCCAAGCATGTGCTCTACCACTGAGCTCTGCCCTCCCTCAATTTGTATTCTTTGTAGAAAAATTAGAAAATGTAAATAAGCAAAAACAATGAAAACCCACCAGCATGTCCACGAGTGAGCACTTTGCCACACTCCCCTCCAGAGTTCTGCATGACACTCACACACCTGCTTTGTGAGGGAGGAAACCGTCCTTGGGGCGAGGGTGCACGATGGGGATTTTTGCCCACGTGCTTCACGCCCACTGGGGCCCTCGACTCTCTCAACTGCGCGAGGAGGCACCGTGACCCTGTGTGCAGGTGGCTCCACAGCCTGCCCAGGACGCTGTGTTGGAGGCAAAAGGGGCCTTGGCTGAGCCTGGGGGAGCTCCCCAACAAGACGGGGGGAGTGGGCAGCCCCGCGGCAGCGGTGAGAGGGGCACCACAGAGGCACCCTGCCGGCCCCCACTCCTCACGGCCTCGGGGCACCGTGTGGTCACTCCACATCAGGGACTTCTCTGTCAGCCTCCCTTTGATGGCTTGGAAGTGCCCTCCCACGTAAGCTCTGTCTCCAGTCACATGATGCCTCCTCCAGCCCTTTCAGTGGCTCTGAGTCCATGTGTCATGAGCCACCAGTTCTAGCGAGCCCAGCTGTCTTCTGCTTCCACCTGGCCCTGCGGCCTGCCGCCCGGCGACGCACAATGGGCCCCGCTTTGGGGCGCTGTGGGAAGTCCAGCGCCACAGACAGGCCCTGGGAGGTCCCTGCTCAGCGGCGCAGCAGCCACAGCGGCCTGTGTGTCCCCAGCCCACACCTGCCTTGGGAAGCTGTCAAAATGCAAGCGGATTCTCACTGGGCTCCAGCCACCTTCCTTCCCCTGGCAGCGGGGGAGAGGTCAGCTGTGACAGGCGGAGACGGTGGGGCCGCCTCTGCAGGAAGGGGCCGGGACGGGAGTGCGGTAAAGCTGTCGCTGCTCCCAGGAAGACCAGAGCACCACTCGGCCCACAGCATGGTCTGGTGGACAGGTAGGGGGCTGGGAGCAGACCCCCTGCCTGTCCCTGGCTCCCCAAGGCTGAGGCTGGGGCAGGTCCCAGGCCGTGGCTGCACCCTGGGCCTCGTCTGAGCCTCCCTCGTGGCCCAAGCTCTGACCACGTGGCTCCAGCTACTGGACACAGAACTGGAGCGACTGGTGGAGGCTCCGGGGATAAGGGCGCCTGCTCCCGGCCAGCGCAGCCGACTGCGTTCAGCTTCACGGCGGATGGGCACTGAGCGCCGGGCATGGCGTCGAAACATCGACAGGAGGGAAGCCATGCAGCCGGGCAGGAGGCGGACAGCAGGGGCAGTGCCAGTGCACAGTGTCCTCGCCTCCGTCAATTTGGTGGCCTCCCAGGGAGGGGGAGCACTGACACCCCATTTTGTTTTAACTGGGAGGAAGCAGGTATTAGGCTGGACCCTCTGTATGGCTGCCCAGTCTCAGGGTCTCCATTGTGAGGTGATAAGCCTGCCTGGCCTCAGGTTCATTTTCAGAAAATGTGCAGCTACTGTGCATGACTCAGCTCTCCTCTGAAGCCCAGCCTCCGCACCAGCTGGGGCACCAGAGTCTCCTGGGGAGGCAGAGAACACGGGGGGCCTGGGGCCATGACCAGGTGCCACCAGAGGAATGTGAGTCAGGCATGGGGTGCTTGCACCACAGCCTGACCTCATCCAGGGTCCGTGAAGTGCACCTGGGACCCCAATTATGGGCCTCTCGGAACCTCAGCTTGGAACCTGGACACTCGGCCCTGGGTCCACACCTGGGGAACAAATATACACATGCAGCCACTCAGACAGTTGTCAACAGGGGAACAGACCAGTGTATCGTGGAAAATCACACAACGGCCCGAGAGGGAAATTAGGCCAAAGGACTCCTGAGACCCTCAGCAAGATCAGGAGGAGGGGCAGACAGGAGGGGATCTACATGCTGAGGTTCCGTTCATGTGACATTCAAGGACGGGGCAGGAGGGGTGGGGGCATCTGTCTGTCCTGGGTGGTGGAGGCGGGTGAACAGATGTCCGTGCACGTTCACTTATGTATCACAAGCCACAGCCTGGCTCTGGCCTCTGGCCCACCCCTACCAGATCCTCTCCCCCGAGCCTTGGCGTCTAGTCCTTCCGACCCCTCAGCTGGACAGCAGAGCCAGACGGGAATCAGCACCTGATGGATGGTGGCCGTGCCCCTAGGCAGCCTCTCTACTCCCAGGCCCTCCTGCCTGGTGCTTTGTGGAGGCTCCTGAATGTCTGGGGCCCTGAGTAGGGGCAGCTGGTCAGCAGCAGGCTCAGGTGGTCCCAGCGAGGAGCCCACCTCCTACCTGACCCTGGTGTCGCCCCAGACCAGGTCCATGGCAGCTC